TCAATATCATCATCATCGTCATCGTCGTCATCATCTTCCATTCGGCCTGGTACCATGCGCAAGCCTTCTCGCTCAGTTACTTGACCTGGTACCATACGATCGAGTCCAGGGGGAGGGGTTGAAACCTGCAACCAGAAAGAGGGTTTAGTCAGCTCCTGAGATGTCTGAAAGAATACACAAAAAATATTTTGAGAGAAGATATACCTCTAACTGAGAGTCTTGTTCAGTTAATTGTCCAGTCACAAGTCTGTGCAAGCCAGGAGGGGGAGCATTTTCTTCTTCAGATGTTTGCGAAGTAAGTTGACCAGTTTCCAGATATTGATTACGATCAAGACCAAATCTTGGGGCAATGTCGTGGTTTTCTTGAGCCTGCCATAAAGGTGGAGTTTGAGAGCTTGGAATTGTAGAGCCGCCAGTTTCCTGTATTTCATAAAGACATTATTGTTGAAAGCAAGCTAATGAAAAATAATAGATAGAAAAGTTTAAGGGGAGACAAACCTGCCCAGCTGGAGGCTCCTGAGATCTATTTTCTACAGGACCAAGCTGATTGTCCATCAAATTGCTATTAGCCAAAGTTTCACTATTTGATTTGTTATTTTCAATAACATTGCCTGATTGTAATGGAGGTGCAAACAGCTGCCTTGACATTGTAGCATTAGGAAACAATTTGTTGGCTGACTTGTGATTCAGGCCGGACCGGTTTACCGAATAAGGATTTCCTCCAACTGATGCCACTAGGGTGGGAGGAGCCATACTTGATGGTGGTATTCCAGATGGAGGACCTCCAGAGGATGGGGGTATTCCAGATGGAGGACCTCCAGAGGATGGGGGCATACCAGCTGGAGGACCAGTAGGATGGGTACTCAATGGTCCTCCTATAGGCGACATATTAGAAAATTGGCTTCCAGGAAGAGAGGATCCAAGAGATGAATCAGAAGTTGAGCCAAGAACATTAGAATAAGGAGGTAATGAAGATTCACGGGCAGGTGCATTGGAGGTTTGGGAGGTTTCTAATGTTACATTTAAATTTTCTAAAGCACTGATGGTTTCATCAAGGTTAAGATTGCTATGAGAGTCCACTTGAGCTGTATTTGAATCTTGCATGTGGTCCAGCAGAGAATTTTTTTCGATTGCATCCTCATCATCTTCTGTGTCTTCCCATAGATTTTGAGCATCACTTGCAGACCCAAAACCACGCTGAGCTGAATCTTCAGATTTAGCTTGACTGGTTGATGTAGGAGAAATTCCTCCAGTGTGTCCTAGGCTGGAGGAAATATCATCTGAATCTTGACTGACTTGACTTTCAATTGACCACTGAGGTGTCATACTATTTTTACTGGTCTCACTCATAGCTGGTTCAAGTTGGTCCTCATACCTTTCAGAAATCCCTACTGGTGGTTCAGTCTTAAACTCTTCCTCTAATTTTGTAAACTGACCTACATTGGACAAGTCATGCTGTATAGTCTGTTCAATATTTCCATCAGAATATCTTAGATTCTCATTCACAGGCAAATGGTTTTCAGATGTTTGATTCTGGTCAACATATCCATGCTGACCACCATATCCCATTTGATAGTAGTTTGCAGCATTTTGAGGAGAAGTAGTCTGATCAACAGACCAATTCCATGAGGTATCATTCTGGAATGACTGGTCCAAGTTGTTGTTAAGAGATGGTTGCTGTTGGACAGGAGCTGGGGAAGTATCTTCAACACCCCAATTCCAAGTATCATTCGCTTGTGATTGAGTAGGATGGACAGGCTGATGAGAATAATCGTATGAAGTATAGTTCTGAAATAAATAAAATTGATTAATTGCAATTTCGGAGAACAAATCACACAGATTCAAAACATAAACAAGGTCATTTATTTGTTTTTATGGTTTCAACCTGTGCTGCATTATTAGTTGATGGAGGTGCCTGTGGTTGATTATGCCAAGAACCCCAAGAGTCCACAGAGGCCTTTGGGGTGTTACTGTTCCAGCTCATGTTCTGATACTGCTGATGGTGCTGTGGTTGCTGCGGAGGCAATTGCTGATTGTGCAACTGTTGCTGTGGCGGCACTTGTTGCTGGGACATCTGATGAGTTTGCTAGTAACAAGAATCAAACAGTGGGACATTAGAATGGAGGCAACTAAAATTCATCTTAAAGATACATCCCAATCGTTTAATCATTACATACAATTCTGGAGGAACATGAAACATGCCATACCTGATGGGCCGGTGGTGCCATGCTGTAATAAGGTGCCCCCAATCCACCAGTTTTGACCCAGTAAGGATCCGACATGACTGCAGCTCAGAAAAAAGCAACAAGCAACCCTGGAACACCCACAAGCAACATGCAGTCCCTAATCACACTCACATAATATTCATTGACAACACTCCGTCATAGTCTCTCTGTTCATTGCGTCCACAAAACAAAACATTTCTTAAAATCAATTTACTTGATATAATTGCAATCTATTGCAAAGTTGATGGAAGTAGAACAATCTTTTCATTTGTTTAAGACAGGTCTCTTGAGTACAATCCACTATCAGAGTGATGATTAGACTGAGTAAAGACTGAAAGATTTGTATGATTTAACAGATCAAGAGGATAACTGCAAAACAACTGATGGACTACTTGTGTTTACAATGCAATCACTGACAGGGCTAATATTTGAACAATTATTACAGAGAACTGAGTACATGGGAAACTATTCCTGCTTCTAGAGTACCATAAGGGAAGCAATAAGGTCTAGACAGTTCAGGAAGTATAAAACTGTGACTCTTGATTGATAAACACAGTAATGGGGACAGTACTGATGGATACTTTATGTACAGCAATATCAGCAGACTGAGACCATAACCCATGCACACACACTTTTAAAAGCGTTTTCTGTATGGTTCAGACATTAAACGCTTTAACATAAATCTCAACATTAACGGAAATGCGTGGCTGACAAAAGTAGTGACAAGACATTATAGAGGTTAGGCTTAAAAATAATAAGTGACTTCTGTTCAACACTCACAGATGGACGAAGAACCTGCTAATTTTCTGTGGGTTGTGGTTCACGACAGCCCACTTTCACCGACATGTTGAGTTGAACATAACAGTTCAGGACTATTTTACAGAATTCAGACACCAAAACACACAAAATGTTGAAGAAAATTAGGAGACAAGAAAAAGTGCCGACATAAAACTTTCTTCTGATATTCACGTCACAACTATGGGTGTATTCCAAAAAGCCACGATTCTGTCCGATAGGTCAGCAAGTGTGGATTTTAGCCAACACATACAAAACTTACTCGTTGGTGTTAGACGAATATTTGATGACTTTGGTACTTTCTGAAACTGCAAATTACATTTTTATTGCATCCAAGTGAGACATTTATTAAATTCACATTTTTTGATTGAGGTGAATGATCTGTTTTGGAAACGCGCTTCTGGGGTTTTCATGTTCTTATGTTTTTTGCATATCTGCAAATAATTGCTCTTCACTTATTTGCACCAGAGGATAGGCAACTTGCAAACACCGCATCATCAGGGGACAGACGGAAAAAAAAACAGACGAGTTCGGTGTGAAAGATGGCAACAAACGTGAAAAGCAAGTTGCATAGTGACAGAGAAAGGTAAAATATTCCGTGCCTGGCATTTCTTTTTTCTATTTACTTTTTTATATATCAAGGACTCTTCATTTGCTAGTTAGTGTGGTCGTTCCCTTGAACAGATTGAAGTTTAACATCTGGCACCTACAACATAACCTCCCATTGTTAACCGGATTACTATTTTACTTGGCTCTGTTATGTCATTTCATTTGATTAGTATTTCGTTGATTCTCTTCCCAGATGGATCTGTATTTATCCAGCTTACATTAACTCCAAGAAGACTTTGGCACAAGGTCGCAAGGTCCCTAAGGAAAAGGCAGTTGAAAATCCAACTCATCAAGAAATTCGCGATGTGCTTGTAGCTGCTGGCATGAAGGCAAGTTTTTCTTAAGAATGGTTTTTATTGTCAAGTCAAGTCAAGAAACTTGTATCGTTCTAACTGTTAGCTCCAATTTCATTCTGTCGTAGGTGGGAGTTGAAAACAAATTGTACAGCCGGGAACCTAGCAAAGAGCTTTTGTTCAGAGGGCGCATTCGAGTGCAATTAAAGAATGACGATGGCACTCCCTTTAACAGTTTATACCCCACACGTAAGTCTGTGAATGAAGATTACTTTAATTTACGGTTTGCAATACTTAAAATTGGTGCTTACATATTTGAATTTGGTTTCAGGTGATTCATTGCTCTTTTATCTTGGTGACACAATACCTAAGTTGAAAAGCAGAGCTAATAAACCTAGTGGATCAGAACAAAGTCAACAGCAATCCAATGCGGGAGGAAAGAAAAAGGGCAAGAAGAGATGAACATGATAGATTGTGATGTTCATAATATTATGTTTGAACTTCAATTTCACTTTCTAATTTCATTTATTTTTTCTCTGAGTTTATATCTGTGGTTATCGAAGACATATATTTTTTCCTATTAAACAAAGTTGTACGTCAAAATCAATTTACCTATTAAAATTCACTTTACAAAACAAACATTTCAAATCATTATAATGACCATAAAATAGAACAGTAAAGATCTAATGTGTAAAATCACAACTTTAAATATTTTGTGTTAAGGGTATTTAATAATATCACAGTTAGTTGTCCATAGCTACTATAACTCTTGGTCTTTGAATAACATTGTTTTGAACCACTGAGTCGTCACAATCAACAGTTGAGCTTCCCCTTGAGGCTGGAGGTTGGGACACCTCAACAGATGATTCATAATTTCTTGGTGTACAATCATCCATTCTATAGGTACTTTCACAGGAAGCACTTCCATGACGCACAACACCCCTAGAATCAGAATGACAAACAACACTTTGACGTTGGAAATTCTGCCTTGTCTGTTGTGTTGATTGGACAGCATTAACATCAAGTCTATTGTGAGCGACCAATTCAGTCTCCTGAGTAATAAAGGATCTAGCCTTAGCCTGGAAATAGATTGAAACAAATTAGCAAAGAAGTGGAAAACCAATAGGAAGGCAATAAAACTACTTACAATTAAGATTGAATAATTAATCTGAATACTACTTAAGTAACGAAAAGATCTTAGTGCTATACCTTCTGAATGACTGGTACAGCTCGAATCACACTAACAGCATGAGAAAATGCTGTAGAACTCATAGCACAGCTTTCTTCAGATTTATCAGGCTCATCCTCATCATCATCATCATCTTTTCCATTACGCTGCCTCATTGACTCATTTACAGGAACCTCTGGGTGTATATTTTTCAGATGTCGAACAAGATTATCTCTCCTCCTAAAGATAAGCTGACATGTTTTACATTCCCACTCTCCATCTTCTAAAAAGAGAAACAATAGGCCAAATTTAAACAAATGGTTCAGTAAATGAAACGATTTGAGAAATAGACAAGACAGTAACCTTGATGTACAAAACCATGCCGTTTAAGATCACTGAGTATCTTGAAAGCTTTGGGGCACTCTTTGCACTTAAACTTGCGTTCCCTTTGATGTGTTTTCTGATGTACATCGAGGCTCCATTTAACAGGAAACTTTTTACCACAATCCTTACACTTATGAATAGGATCTGCACAAAGCACAAGCAGTAATAATATTATACATCATACCAGGTAATGGTTTAAAATAACAGCACAACTTAACAATGTTGTTACCTGCATGTAGCTTTTTGTGTTTACGAAGACATGACTGACTGCTTAGTTTCTTCGAGCATATTGGGCAGGTCACAAAATGACCTTGTGCATGAGAAAGCATATGATCTTTCAGAATTTGTTTAGTACTGAAAGCTTTTTCACACTTGTCACATTTAAAAGGTTTTTCAGATGCTGCCCGAGAAACAATGGTGGAGTAAGTTACCATAGTCAATAAATTCATTTAACATAATGTTCACATTTACCTTCATGGGACTTGTAATGCCGATTTAGTTTTGACTGTTGTTTGAACCCTTTGCCACAAGTACTACATGTGAATGGAAGAGATCCTTCAAAGAGAGAGAATGAATTAGTTAATGCTTACTTGCACATTGGTTAACTATTCAAATAACATATTAAGGAAGAACCTGTGTGAGATTTAATATGATAAACTAAATGTCCTTTAGTAATAAATCCTAGTCCACATTCATCACATGTGTGAGGCTTTTCTGTATTAGATGCCCCACAATAATTATGATAGCGTGCTGCTTTTCTGTTATTATAAGACTTGTCACACTTTTTACAGGTATACTTTGGAGGATTCCCTGTGGAAAGAAGTAAAACAATTTAAGTATCAAAAATTGAGTATTTAGTGAAGCAAACAAGACATAAGACTATGGTTCAATACCTGGAGTGAAGACAATGTGATCTTTCAGACCAAATGTTGGTAGTTTTTTGACGGAAAAATTCTTGGAGGAACTATCGTCAGTATTTTCCTCTGCATCTTCAGGTTGAGTACAATCTTGGGTGTTGGGATTGGTACAGTGATCTGGTGGCTGACTCAAAGTGAGGGTATCTTCCTGGGTTGTCGGAATTTCTTGAGTTAGTAGAATTGGGGTAGGCACTGTTTCAGAGGGAGCCGTAGAGAGAACGGGTTCGATTGGCCTACTCTGACAGCCATGAGCAGGTTTTAGCTCTGTGTACACTGGAGTATAACTAGAGCATAACAAACAGCTAGCCTCATCCGACAACAGACACTCTCGACATTTCTTGTGGCCACATGAGTCTCTTACGAGACGAACACGGCTGGAATCTGCTTCTCGTCCACATTGAGGGCAACACTCGTTTGTGAGCATGGTCTCTCAGACTCGCTCTGAACGTCAAGACAAGCTAAATTTCTACAAAACTCAACATCACATTGACACAGAATCACAACAGCCAGCTTGCAGCAGCCGAAACTCCAACCAGTTGTTTTCATTCTTTGTGGACAGATGTACATTGATTTTGTATTTGGGGAACCTCCCACTCCCATTTTCTGCTGACGTTAAGTTTCTCATCTCATCTTGCCGGACGTCTGCAGTCCGCAGCGTCTGCTGTCTGCTGCTGCTCTTGTGTTTAGGGTCAGAAAACAGGACACACGAAACTGGCCGTCGTTTGTCTAATTTGTCTAGAGAGGACGGAGGACGTAACTGTTTTCAAACTAGGTCTAACAACGGAGGCAATGGTGTCACTGGGGCCGGGGGTTGCTGCTGCTGGGTCTCTGCGACTGCTACGGAAATAGACAAGAGCGTCTGCTGGGCCGTTGCTCTGTCTGCTGTACCCGGCACAACTTATATGGAATCTTAATTTTATTTTGCTACAGACGGATAGTAGGGAAAAATCAAAATGGTAATTATTCTGGTTGATTCACTTTGGAAAAGGGCATCGACATCCATTCATTTTGAGAAAAAGGGATGGCACAGTCAGTTGCAAACACAACTGCTAACCTAAATTTTGAACAAGTAAATTTACTGTTTTGAGACATTTTGGCTCTATTGCTTGAAATTTATTGATAGTTTTTTTTACATTTTGATTTTTAAGTAAACGTAAAATTCATATTTTTAAAATATTAAAAAAAAAATACATAAGATATATAATAGAATTCCACATGTGGATAGAGTGAAAATAACTTGTGTCTTTTAGGTTGCTCTAATAAATTGTCGTTGTATGCTTGATAATTTTTTTTTAACGCTAGTGCAGATTATATTGACAGCCACTCTTTATGAAAGTCATAGTTTGTCTAATAGTCGCTTCTAATCATCCAGGCTCTTCTCGGTGCTCAAATGGTCATCACTTTGATCATGGTCAGCGTGTTTCAAAAACTGGGCTCATTCTTCTCATTAGCTCGATGGCTTCTCTGCTCTACTGGGTAAGTACTTCCCTGTTCCACGTTAACATGGTTCCTTTTGAACATTTTTTCACTCCTGCTATTATTTTAGGTTGGTTCGCTATCTATATCCAACAGACAGCGAGTTAAGACAGCTTGCGGGTATCCCTAAAGTTACTAAAGAAAAATCAAAAGGAAAGAAGGGAAGCAAGCTTGAAAATGGTGATGTGTTTAGGATACCCAGAAGTCTCGATGTCCCTGTAAGTGGCCTGCCCCAAGAAAACTAATTGCTGTGATAATTTTGTACAGACCTGAATTAATTCTTAATTATTGTTGTTATTATCAGTTGGAGAGTACAAAAGTCTCACCCCTGGATGTTGTCCATTTACGTTTCTATTCCGAATATCAATGGGTTGTAGACTTTGCTCTGTATGCAGGCTTTGTGTTTTTGATGTCCGAGGTGAGTGAATTTAGAACTATCTATCTATCTAATTTTGGTTAATTAAGCTAACTGTTTTTCTTGCATATACTTAAACAGGTTTATCATGGCTTTTATCCAATCAAAGATGAAGTAAATCTTTCTACTGTTTGGTGTATGCTAGTGCTCGGCTTTGCAACGTATCCTTTTCACCATTTGTCTTCACTTTGTTATGGAGAATAATCAATGTAAATAATAGTACATACCCTGTCATTGTGATCCTTTCCTTACATAAATTTTCAGAAAAGTTCTGGTAAGTTTGACTGTTCAGTATTTCAAGGGAGAACAATCAGTTGGTGAGCGTTCTACTGTCATAGTGGCTGCATTTGCATACCTACTGATTGCAATGATGGTCATGGTAGTGGATGAACGCAATTTAGAATCTGGTTTAGAAACAGCCTACCAAAGTTTCAATACCAGTGCAGCAAGGTTCCTTGGTAGTCAGGGATTGCAATCCTCGTAAGTTTGAATTGCAAGGTGAACTTTGGAAAGTTACTTGAAAACCTTTTAAAATAACATTTATATTTTTTTGTAGTGGACCAGCATCAAAACTTGTATTAAAGTTTTTCTTAGCCCTATGGTGTGGATTTATTGGTGGAATTTTCATCTTCCCTGGGTTCAGGGCAGCACGAATGCATTATGACCTTCTCAAGTTTGTTTCCACTCTTCTCTTGACAGTTTCAATTTAGTTTTCTTTATCTTCAATGATATTGCTACTAATGACACTCTTCATTTTCAGATATTATGAAGTCAACCGAATTAAGCGATTTTTGCTCAATGTCAGCTTTGCTTCACCTTTTCTTCTAGTGCTTCTGTGGGTCAAGCCCGTTTGTAGAGATTACCTGACTGCGAGAATTTTTTCTGGCATGACTGCACCTCTGTAAGTCTAAAATAGAATAATATTTTAAATACAAGAAGAAGAACTTCCCTAATTTAGAATATTTTCTTTCAGAATGACTGATGGTGCGTTTGACAGCATGCGCTTAGTAGCTGTTATTGTTGTAGCACTTCATCGCCTCTTTCTCATGCCAATTTATTTGCAAGCCTATTTGAATATGGCTTACCAAAGAGTTCAAGAGCAAAGGAAGGAAGCAGGAAGAATCACAAACCGTGAACTTCAAGAGAAGGTACCCGCAATAATGTTGGACAATCAAATCATCATATCCTTTTTTTAAAAGTATATTCATCAATTTTTAATGACATTTATGTTTTAATTTTACAGATTGCCAGTGTTTTCTTTTATTTGTGTGTTGTTACACTTCAGTATGTTATTCCCATTTTCTGTTGTCTATTTTTTGCTTTTCTCTTCAAAGTACTGGGTGAGTTTTTTTTTTTTTTAACACTGTGTTAAGACTACTTCAAAAATATGATGACCAGCAGACACTCTATAAACTCTAATAATTTTTCTCCAGGGGGTTTTACATGGAGTGGAGTTTCAGTACCTTTTGAAAGTCCTGCTCTTTTGTATTCTAGTCCTACTGCGACTGATGATGCCACCACTATCATGCAATCAGCTAGACAGTTCACACTTGCATTGGATTCATTGAAACAAGTGTGTATCTCAGCAGTTCTTCACTTTCTTGTCATATGATTTATAAAAGAATTGTTCAGTATTTTAATTTAATTTTCTCTTATTTCTCTCCAGGTTTTTACCATTGAAGTGTCTCGTGGAGTTCTTGGATTTGCACTTTGGTGGAGTACTTTTGCTTGGTTTTCCTCCTCATTTCTTGGTATTTTGTATCAGACATATTTTCAACACTCATAGTGAAATGCATTGGTTGTTACATATAGATGATGTTGATTTTTGGGTCAATAATGTGTGCCTATTGCGCAAATTGATTTCATGCAACTTAAAAACTTTGGCAATATATCTGATTGTGTGTTAACCTGTAGAACATGGAAGACATTATTCTCTTAAACAAACTTGTGTAAATATTTTAAGATAGTAGTAATTTTTTTTTGTTGCATGGCCGTGGCCCATGCGATTTTGTAATAGACGGAAATTTTGTTTTGACAGTATTTTGTGCTACTGACTTAAGTAGTACATCTGTGTTACTGTACTCTCAGTTCTGATCTCACGCCAGCTGTTCCATCGAAGGTGCACAATTGTGTCCACTAAAATTGTGGATTTTGGGGCTTCAGGTACTCTTCATGTACTTGCCAGCTTTATTTTCTTATAAATATTAGATCTCTAAAACAACATCAAACAGCGTGGTAGCAGGTCATGCCTGGGACCTAATTTAACTGAAATTTAGGCATTTATTGTATTTCCAGTCGTTAAACTGTCTTGAAAGACATTTTTATTACTTGTACAAGGTTTCTTGTATGTAAAAGTGTGCCACTCCAATTTTTGTCTTACTATAAAAAAAGACATAGCACTGCCACAAAACACTTGTAGGAACTGACAAAGTGTTCAGGAACAAAGTAGCTCCTTGAGGGGTTGTCTTCCTTTTCTTTGAAGACTGCATTTAAGTTCTAGGTGTGTGTATATATTGTATCTTGAGATATTGGTAACAGAATGGCCAATAAAAGAGAGTTGCTTTGGTAGCCAATAATAGCCAATGTAACTCCCTAGAAGATGAATCTCAAGCTGCCTTTAAAAAAAAAATAGAGTTACGGTGTAATTGTGAAGCCAGAAACAGCATCATGTTTACTATTTTCATTTCAAGCAATACATATATTTTGTAATTTCAGTGTATGAAAACAGTTTGCTTTTTTGAAAATTTGTATTTTTATAAAGACGTCTGTTGTTAGTCAAATGTCTGGAAAAAACATAACTATGGAAGCAATATGTTTTCTGTAAAGTTAATAGTGCTCTGTCAAGCATTATCTAAATTTTTCAAAAACGAGGTTGTGATTGTGACTCTGTCAGTTGTTGTTGTTTTTTCTTTTTAAAGAGCAGAACGCTACTGCAGTACTGCAACCAACATTTGTCATTGTTTCTCTTAACGTTTCCTGTTCTCCCAGCGCGCTAGCGATTGCCGTTACTATTTGCCGATATCCCACCCCTACCCCTACATGTTCCGCTTTGCATTGGACATTGTCCGATTGCGCCGACAGCGGAACAACAAAAAATAACAAGTTAAGAACAAGTCAGGTCATACAGGGAGTATCGTGTAGACACAGGAGGGGCCTGCCCCCATTCCCTCTCCCTTTTCCTTTTCTCCGTTCGCGTCGACAACTAACACCCATCAAGCCAGGAAGGAAAAATTACGCGAAGTAAGATGCCCAACAATTTAAAAACTAGAGCGATTGGTGGCTTTACAAAACTGGAAAGAAGGTTTGAGGATTTCCTAGTCTGAGTAAGCCATAGACTGACTGATCATGCCACTCCAGCCACCTAGTGGAACTTCCCTTGCGTCGCAGCAGGGGGCTGGCGCCTGCTGCCGCCTGCTGGCGCCACTAGGCTGGCGCGCCCTGGCGGAGCGTTGAGTAACCAGGCGGGGACCCAGGCCCACCCGGTGACGCCACCGCACTCCACCCCTCCCCAACGGGGTGGCATCCGCGAGGGTCGCGGGCGGGGCTCGTCGGGGTGCCTGGGGGTGCGACAAGGAGCCGGCGCGGGGCGGGAGCGCTACTCTGCCACGCAGCCGCACGCGGTGCGCGGTGGCATAGCGCAAAGGGGCCGAGGGGGGCCACCCCCCGAGCCACCCCCACCCCCTGGCTGCGTCCAGATAGAGCGCACCCTGCCCAGCCCACCCGCGCCGCCGCCCGCATCGGCCGGCCGCCCCGCGGGGTGGGGGGTGGGGGGGCCTCCAGGACCTGCGGGGTCGGGTCGCCAGTCGCCAGTTGGCGGGAGGACGCCGCACCGGAGCGACAGGCCTGGGGGTGCAGCCGTAGCGCCGCTCCGCTCCGCATCGTGTCGCGTCGTGTCGCACCGGCCAGGACCGCCTCGCGCCGCCCCGCCCCGCGCAGTGCCGCGCAGCGCATCGCGTCCCGCAGCGGATGACACCGGCTGCACGGCCGCTGCCCTGTTGATGGAACACGCGCGGTGAGTGCAAAACGAGGTGACCGTCGGGCCGCTGCTGCCGCGAGCCGGCGGACCGGAAGCGGAAACGGGGCTGTCTCCACTTCCGGGTCGCGTTGCATCATCTGCAGAGTGTGGATTTGGGGGGGGGGGGGGATTACGCAGACGAACTTCGTGCGCAGAAACTGTTCACGGAAGATTATCGGGCAAACCTAAACCTCTGATGTACTCGAGGGCGCGAGTCTCGGGCACCGCGGCTAAGCGGGGGTGGGGGGCGGCGGGGCACCTCCTTCGGCCTGCGCTGGTTCCGCATGCGAGGCGAGGTCCACACTGTGACTCTTCCTATGACTACAAAACATCCCTACCGCTCGCCCTCCTTCCCTGTTTCCTCTCCGAGGCAGACCCGGGACGACGTGCACGCGCACGGCCTTTGTGTCGGCGTGTCGCGGCCGCGGCGCCGCAGGGCACGTCGCTCTGGGCGCGGCGGGCCAGACCGACGTGACCGACTTGCCGCCGCGCTCCTTTGCCTTGGTCACCGCCGCGGCGCCGGGCCGGAGCGAGGGATTGGCGTGACGAGGCCACGCTTTGCGGTTCCGACATTCCAGCCCTGAAGTGTAACAAAATGTACAACCTGAATCGAGGTTGAAAACTTTTATTTGCAAACTGTTATTTGCAAACGGGGAGTTCAAGCCTCCAGCATTTTCTAAACTGAATGCTGTAAAGGTTTCCAGCCTGCCTTCACCAGCAGAGAGGGAGTGGGTGATATTTCAAAACATTCACTCCCGCCAAGGAGTAAAAAAGGACCTAAAAAAACAACAAAAAATACGAGTCAGGAAGCAATCACCGCAAACCAAAGAAACGACAGCCTGCTCGGCGTGACAGATGCTTTTACCGTTCGCCCTTTGATTATCCCGGCCATGTCACGGCGCCTGCTGCTTGCCTCCAAACGGCCCAACAAGGAAAATTAGCGCAAAAATACACCCCTCGACCTGCATTTATTTTTTTCGCGCTCCTTTGCCGTGCCGTGCTCGGCGCAAAGCGGCGCCTCCAAGCCGCGCGTCACGTGACTGTCGCAGTATTGACTTTTTCCACGCGATTGCGAGGAATGCAGTCATGCTGGCAAACGGCCGACAAACGGCCAAATAAAATTCCTTGCAGGGGAGGGGGAGGAGTGCAAACAGAGCAAAAGCGTGCGTTAAAAATGCTATCGAGTTAGAGTTGCGGGAGGGGGGAGGAGGGAGGGTGGGGGTGAGGGTGGAATAACAAGCACCCGTCTGCCAGCTTATGATAAGAATCTCTGGCTCGCCGATAGAACGCGCTGCACCACGGGCAAATGCACACACACACACACACACACACACGCGCGCACACACACACTCACGGCTTTACGGAGGTGAATCACCGAGAGCGCGGCGTCGCGGGCGGTGACTAGCGGAGCATGCATACAGTACGTCCGTCATTTGCCGTCTCGAAACCTGCCCAGTTCAGCCGATGGAAGCTCTCGTAGCGCCTGTTCGGTAGGCAAACTCTTGCCTGCAGTGCATGCAAGTAGTGCGGGCTGGCCTACCCCGAGTCTCACAGGCGCTGAGCTCGTCGCCGACTGAATCTGGACACGCGTGCACTGCTTGGTGGCCTACGATGGTTTTCGCAGGCGTCGAGCTCCTGTCCTTGTGCCGTACGCACGGTGAAGAAAACTGCTCCTTGACATACAAGGACCATCGGAAGGATTTAAAGACGGGATAGGAAAAATTGCATGGGGCGTCCTTGAATCGTCCCGATGGTCCTTGGACAACAGTTTTCACCGTGCGAATCTAAGAAAAGCGCACGTACTTTCTGGACGATCCCTAGTCTATACACCTCGTGCGCGGCAGTCCCGTCACAGGGGTGGCATTTCGCTCGCAATTAAATCACTGGTGGTCATGTAGGTGCAAACTAGAGGAAAAGGAGGGGGGGGGGCGAGTCCAAACAGGTGTCGCCGATAACGACGTAGGTTCGATTCATTATTACGGCTCCAGCTGTCCGCGCCACCAAATAGCGACAATACAAATTATCGTCGTGCAGACGTGAGGCTTGGGGCCGGGCGGGCGGGGTCTCACGGGCAGGCTGTGGTTCCCACGTTATTACGCCTAAATGGCCGCTGTAGCCGCGCCTCGGGTGGCGCCGGTGTAAAGCCGGGCGGGGCGGGCCCTTCTCACCTCGGGGCTTCCCCGGCGCGCTGGGCTGCTGGGCCCCGAGCCTCCTATGGGGGCCTCGGCCGGCTCTTCTCCTTGTGTCTACACCGTCCGGACTCGCCTATGGGCTCGGGCTGCGTTGGCTCCGCATCCACTGCAAAAAAATCAAGACAGATACACACCATTTAAAAAAAATAGAAAAAGGGAAATTTAATTTTTCAAAATGCGTCTCACGATGGAAACGGGATTGTGGGAAGACGTGAAAAAAGTGTTAAAAGGAAGTAAACGTCTGAACTGCCTGCGGACTTCGCGGATATTTTCATACAAAAGAAGAAGAGGAATAACTTTGTTCATTACGCGAATATTTAATCTCAGGACAGAAAGTACTGTGCCTCAACGCAGAAAAACGGCGGTCAAAAGCCTTCGGGTCAAACCATGAGAGCAAAAAGAAAACAGTTTGGCATGTTTAATAAAGGCGCAGCAGGCCAGCTTGCAAGGAAAACACAAAGCGCTCGGCCAAAGAGTCAGAAAAATAAAAAGGGGCCCAAACAGCATCGTTTTTTACCTCGACAAATAATTTCCTTTGCAGTGTCTCGAACAGGTAATGGGGCGACAGGCCCGGCGGGAGGCCCGGCCAGGAGCACTCAAGGTGCTCTAAGTACACGCGGGGCGGGGCGGGGCGGGGCTGGGCGCCACCTGCAGTGCTACTGTGTTACTGCAGGGGCCAGGGCCGGCCCTCTGGCGAAGGGATCTCGGCCCTTCCCAGCCCTGTGAGCCCATACCTGCCAGACCCCTGCTCCACCTCCACCACCTTACTCCTGTCCCTCCTGCTCTGAGCGTGGCCCGCTGCTCCATCATAAACCGAGGCCCCTGGGGCTCAGCCGCCCCGCCCCGCCCCACCCCGTCGTCAGGGACCTCCACGCCCAGCGCCCCCGCAGTGGTCCAGGAGGGTCCAAGGAGAAACCGCGCAGGGCATAAAAAAAATAAATTCCTGCGGCCACCCTGACAAAACTATGAGGTTCCTCGTCATGGAAAATGGAAAATGAATGGCCACAGAGAGACCTGGCGGAGCGCCCGCGAACCAGAGGGATGCCGTCCCGCAGAGCAGCGGGGCGCCCGGCAGGAGGGGTTGCCTACCTCGCGGGCGCTTATCGCTCGCGCGGACTCGGGCGCGGCACGGCTCGGGCTGTTGCTCCGGCGAGCGGCGCCGGCGCGGCGCGACGGCGAGCCCCCGCATCGAACAGCGCAGCAAAGGTGCGTGTACGCAACTTTACTAGCATCTCAGAAAAGGAATATCAAAGAAATCGATCTGGAAAAAGTCACACGCTTTCTGACTGGGATGCGATCGCGAGACTCCGGCATACTGACACTGACGGTACTGACCCAGCAGGCGTGAGGGTCAGTAAACGAGCGACGCTTTGTGCCGCACTGGATCAAGCAGCCAATGAGGCGTTGTCAATATTTGAGCCCCGAGATGAGCTGAGCTGCTCGCCTGCGCGCCCCCCCCCCCCCCCCCCCACTTCCCTTTTCCCACAACACAACTGGCGGCCATTAGTCGGGGTCGATTATCGCACGCCACACTATCGCGCCACATCACCACGAGTCGCTCCTGTCGGCATTGTGGCACTGAAAGGCAGCGCAGCGCAGAAGGGCCGAATAAGCGGGGGGAGAGAGAGTGCTAGTACGTACCGATTTTGTAATTTAGCGGGCAGTCAGGACTAAAGGACCGTGTCTCAGGCCACCAGAACAGTGCTGTTCTGATGCTTAGGCTGGGCCGCGTCGCTGAGCTGC